CATACCTGGAGGTGTATTTTGTTTTATTTACATATGTTAACACATAAATCCTGCAAATTTAGGCTGAGGTCTTCTCTCAAACGTAAAATATTCTTTTCCACCTTGTGATGCCATGCAGTACAACAGGAAGTGCTCCACCATTTTAGGTCTGGAATTGCCAGTCTGTACTGAACAAAAGGTAAAGGCTGTTAACTTGAAAACTACTGCTTCATGATATAACAGAGCATTTGTAGACAGACTAACATGTGTGAATGACAAAACACAACTCAGGGTGTGTTTTTGGGTGCGGAACAACATTATAATATAACTTAAAGGGACAGTTCAGAATTTTGGAGATGTGTGGAGACACTTTTTTTTAAAATTCCACCGAGTCTTTGTATTTGCAGAGGTCGCTAGTGCTAGGTTAGAGCATGTCAGTGGCCATAGTTATCCTGCCACTAAAAACAGTCTTACCCACTTCACAAAACACCCGAAACAAATCTATTATGACGCCAGATTGTCGATGTGTCTGTGTTGATAGAATAATGTTTGAAATTAAAAAAACCTTGCATCACATGAATCATCGTATGTTGAGGGACTATTTTCTCATATGTCAGTCCGCCGCTGCCAAGCTTTATATCAGGAAGTACAACTCGCTGCTGCTGCTCAGACAAAATCCTTCAAATGCAAGGTTGGTTTTACTTCTAAAATTATTCTTTTGACAGAGACATTTACATCGACAGTCTGGCGTTATAATTGTTTTGCTTTGGGTGTTTTGTGGAGTGGGTAGACTGTTTTTAGTGGCAGGCTAACTATGGCCATTGACATGCACTAGCCTAGCACCAGCGACCTCTGCAAATACAAGGGCTGAATGGAACATTTTAAAAAGTGTCTTCACACGTCTCCAACACTCTGGCTCACTAGGAAATGAGGTCCTATGTCCAAAATTCCAAACTGTCCATTTAAAGCTCACAAGAGTCAATGTTGCATGATCCATGACTTTTAATAGTTTTTAAAAATGCACACAAACCTTTTCTCATCCTTCCTCTTTCAAAACTTCCAGTAAGTACTTCTTTTTTGAGCAGGGTGTACTGTAAAAACTATATTTTAGTCTTGCCTCATTCTCGTTCTCTGCTGCAGGCCACAGTTGCCTTTCTGTTTGTACCCTGGCAGCTCATTTTCCACATTTACCTCATGCAGTGCTTTATTGGAGACCATGGACCGTGCTGTGATAAAGTGGACTGTTAATGTAAAAAGAAAAATTACACTCTGTTTGGTCACTATGGAAATGTAATGCTATGGCAGGATCCGTTCTTATGAAATCCACATGGTTCCAGGGGCATGCAGCTTCTAATTAATCCTGTAAAAAACATATAATTAAATAAAAAAAAAAAACTTTAAAAAGGCAGTATTCAATTTAAGGGCTCTTCCATTTAACATGTAATCACTATGCCTGTTATTAACGGTGAGGATGTCCCCTGTTGGTCTTTCAAATTAGGATTAAAAGCTTAGGTGGGAGACCCCAATTATTGGAGCAGCCAGTTTGGCGCTAACTAGAGTATGTGCACACATAGTCCACCTCACTTACAATAGGAATGATTTGGGAGTCACGAGAAAAAAGTACAATTAAAGGCACATTAAACTGGAATTACTCATTGTATTGGATTTCATATTGTTGAGCATCGTCCAAGAAATTTACTTGCAAGTTAAAGGTATAACTTTTTTAGAAAAGAGTCTGTTTCTATGGAAAGGTTATTGTTTTGTAAGGAATGTTCCACTGCACATTAAAGTTACGCATCTCTGTGAAAAGCGACAGGCAACTAGGCCAAGTTGAAGGTCACAGCAGACATGTTTTCCAGGTTTTTCTGAGCGATAACTTCTGGTTGAATACTTTATTTTTTGGACTATAAGTTGCACTTTTGGGGTAAATTTATTTTGTAAAATCATAGACCATAAACCGAAAGTTAATCTTGAAAGGCAAATTATAGTAATAACAATAGAACAGTGAATAGGCTGAATAGGCACCTAGTATGTTAATGTAACATGTGAACAGTTATTCAGATAACTAGAGCGTAAACAACATAACATCACAAATTTACCAAACTCTCGATCTCACTCCAAATCACTAAATCCATTGAATTCTCCTCGGTGTCACTTCTGAGCATAATAAATTATTATAGATCCATGGCAATTCCGCAGCCCCCTCTTCTGTGTAGCTATCGTCAGACTCAGATTCAGTTCCAGTTAGAATTATTCCGGCCTTTCCAAATCTCGACAGGATGGTTTCGGTTATCACTGAAGTCCATGCTTTGTCGATCCATCCAGTGGCTTCCAGGAAAGTTCCATGGCGGACCCACCTGATGGCAGACACGCCCGGTTGCCACGAAGCTGTGTTCTCCATCCCTGCTTTCGAAAAGTCCCTCTGAAGTTTCTCGCTCACTCCATACTTTGTTTCTGCTGCTCGATTACTGTTTACAGCTGCATATTTCACTACTTGCAGCAGAACAATTGATCTTTCTACAGGAGTCTTGTGCAGTAGAGAGAAGTGACAGTGGTATAGGAGTAATAGTAGTAGCAGATACTGACACAGAAGCCTAGAGCGCCCTCCTCCGCCTGTTGGTGTGAAAATTTCAATATATAAGTTGCACTGGAGTATAAGTAGCAGGACCACCCAAACCATGAAAAAAAGTGCGACTTATAGTCCAAAAAATACGGTGAATGCATGATACATGTGTTTAATGCAATACTGTCAAACATTCCAGGCAAAACAACAACTCCATGGAGATGAGGAGGTGATGAACCCCTCAGAAAAGTTACACAGTGCACATTGAAGCAAGTTTGGGATATTTAGACAAAGTACTAAAATACTTTATTCTACTAATCCTAATAAAATCACCACAAGTATTTTTTTCCAATATTAAAAATCACCACTAGTGTTGCTGCTCCTTGACTGTTGGCTGAAGTCTACCTTCTGGACAATGGACAGCGAGTCACGGGGCTGCCATATGACATCATTCAATATCTTTTAACTTGAAGTTCAGTCTACTCGGATTTATTTTTGGACTTTATTTTCTCCTCCAGCTGTTGCCTTTCAAGCCAGGAACAGTGTCCACATTAGGCTGAAGCATAGAGTTTCATAATAAACCATTAGGCATCTGGACAAATAGCGCTGAGGTGCAGAGGGGACACAGAGGTTTCCGTTCTCTTCTATCCGCTTTGATTTTTAGTCTTCCCTGCTGTCATGGTTCAGTTGTTGTCTTTTCAAACCAGACCGACAAGTTCTGCTGCTTCTGTCCCAAGAGCGTACAGAAGAACTCTCCAATACTGCGGGGTGATGATCTGTTGGTTATTACTGGGATCATCTCTTTTGAATGTGTGCGTTTGGGGGAATCCCTTTATGTTTATTCAGTCTTTTCAGCTCCACATCTTGAATATGCTAAAACACACACAGGAAGACGAGCACAGAGCAATGGGAGCAGTGGGTGACATGGCCTATCCGTAATTTATGATTATTCATGAAGATCATAAAGTAGGTATTTGACACCACGAAGATCTTATTTCTTTGCCTGGAATTTTCCACAAATGGCATTCAAAATCTCCAGTTCAATTACAGGTCTTTTAAAGCTCAGTAGTACCTTGAAAAACATTAAATATTACCATGTGCGGGCTTGCTTCCATTAACCATTAACCTGTCTCCATTGTGATTAACAAGTTTATTTCCTTACTGTGAAACAATCAGGGCAAACTCGTAATATCTCCATGGAGAGAAGCAGATGCCGGTCCATCCACCAGAAATGTTACACAGCGCACCTTTAAATAGCAACTTTATCAAATTCGAAGCTAATAAACTAGTTGGTAAGTAAAGCCAGGGTTCCCACTCTTTTTCACTGACAAAATTTCAAAACTTTTCCATGACTTTTTCATGGCGTAAAGTGAATTTTCCATAACTTTACAGCAGCTACTTGTGTAGAATTGATCATACTTTTAGGGCTATATATGAAATGTTAACCCTTTTCACTCACCTTATGGTTTGGTATTGTAGTTTTTTAGCATTCAAAATATATCAATATATCAACTGTTGTCATCTCTTTAAAACAAAAAGCACATAGGTTCAGAAATAATCATAATAGCCTAATGATAACTTAATAGGTTGCTGTAGTTGTGTGAAAGAGATACTAAAATTACAGGACTTTTCTAAAACTTTCTTTGAATTTACAAAATTCCATGACTTTTCCAGGCCAGGAAAATAACATTTTCAATTTCCATGACTTTTCCAGGCCTGGAAAATAACATTTTCTATTTCCATGACTTTTCCAGGATTTCCATGATTGTGGGAACCCTGCAATGTTAACCTGACTTTCCCTTTGTTTTTGTTTTTCCTTTTAGTTTTTAATTTTATAGTTATCTTCAGGTTTACATACATTTCACTTTCTTTTGAGTTTACAATAGGAAGATAACAACTTTGATTTTCCAGAAATAGGGTTAAAAGTTTCCTCATTTCCATACACTCACAGTCATTTTTTACTGTATATAGAAACACAGCGTTTTCAGCCACATATCTTTAGCATTGCCACATTCATTTTACTCTCATTACCTCTATCCTAAACACTTTTAAAGCACTTTGGCAGACATAAATTCCTTCACCACTCCATTCTAACTCTTAAGTGTTGGTCACATAAAAGCTCTTTGTAAAATGCATTCCTCCTGCGCGGCCCTGTGCGACTGCGTGTGACAACATAATGACTTAAGCACAGCTCTCCTCTGCCTGAGATCTGCCTGGGCACTGACGTCTGCCGTGATTGCCTGTTACGCTCCACAGTGGAACTCCCTGCTACTCTGTTTGTAACCTGACGCCTTGCAAAGAGAGAGAAAGAGAGAGAGAATAAGAGTCAAACACAGACAGAGAAACAGGAGGTAGGAGGCAGGAGGGAGGGAGGGAGTAAGGGGGTAGGGTAGGACTCAAATTGGAGAAGGGAACGTGATGTCAGCTGAGTTCAGAAAGTAAACAGACTTTGTAGACAGCAGCATGCGGCCGAGGCAGCTGGAGGAAGCCCGGGGGGATGCAGGTCTCTCAGTGTCCTGGACCGCTGGCGCAAACCTGAGCAGGGTCATATGTGGTAAAGAGGGCTGGCTCCTCTTCCTCACCTTCGTCTTCATCACCTCTGTGCCTGCTGGGACTGCATGGCCCTACGGTAAGAGACAGGACACTCACACTCACACGCACGCAACGTCATGTTCTTTGTTCTCAAAAAGCCGGCATCAGCATCATTTGGTTTGGTGTGTCTGTTCTTCAAAAGCAAGGCAGAGTTTTGCGTGGCATTAACTCTGAAAAGTTTGTAGGATAACTTGTGTTCATTATTCAAAGATTTCATTTAAAACTCATCATTATTAACTTGATATTGCAAATTGTGGCAAGTTTATTTTTTGTACACTTCCTTTGGTTACTATCTAGTCTTTTTACTCTGTTGTTAGTTAATATAATGGCTGTGTTATTAAAAGCGGCAATTTCTAAAAAGACCAATCTCATATAAAAGAATGCCTTTACAAATCTGTTTTTTATTCTTTCTTTACAAAATGCAAGTCTTGTGACCCTTTGTAGGTCATGACCCAGAGTTTAGGAACCACAATCAGATTACACCTAAATACTGGGACTAATGATGTTGCTCAACATGCTCAACAATATCATGATGGATTCTGTCCTCTTTTATTTTGCTGTGTTTATGTTTCGCGAAAAATACACAAATAATGCCACACATTCCATTCCCAAAAGTCGTCCAGTGTATCTCTTTGGAATGGCTGAAAATTGGCAACAGTTCTCTTTTGTCTCGGAGTGTTTTCGAGGACTCTATCCCTCCAGAGGTTCAAAAAAATCTCTCCCCCTCTCTCTCTCATTCTTTCTCTCTCTATTTCTCCCTCTTTCTCTCCTGTTTACCTTCTTTGACCACTTGAACTTCTGCAGGAAGACGTGAGTCATGTTTGAATCACTCTGGCTGGCTTAATGTGTATACCATGCGTGCATCCTAGAGAATCCCTGGCAAACTTTTTTCTGTCTTTCTTCCCTGTTTTGTAGCTCCCCTGTAAAGCAATACCTTCCATTAGTAACGCTGGTGCATGTGGGATGAAAACGGCGGATTAAGTTGTAGTGTACTGAAGCGTGCCTGTTGGCGAGTCTTTGACATTCGTGCTTATTGTCATCTGAGTAACTCCCGGAGATTTGTTAGAAAATAGTACTTAATCAGCTGTTGAAAGATGTGCTTGATCGAGCGGGCTAAGATAATTTTAGACCCTGAACTGTCTCCCTGAAAGGCACGGCACCGGTCCGTGAGTGGTTGTCTATGTTTACACTGTGATTACATGCAAGTAGACATGTCCCAATATCGCCTTGTATAACCGCACTTTGAAAATGCCTCATCAGCGGTAATGGAAGAAACTGGAATTTGTCTTAGTCAGACTTAAACAGCTGGGCCTAGCTGTAAAATTGTCAAGTATCTGTGCTCTCATACTTCGCCCTTAAGCTGGACAGTCCCAGGCACTAAGCAGTTAACATGGAGGGGGATAGGAAAGACATAGTGACAAATGTTAGTATGAACCAAACACAGAATCAAATTAGACTAATTATAGCAATGTATCTTACACTATGCAAAGGTTATTTGTAATTAGCTATTCGGACATTGTGGGTATAAGCTGTTGCCTTTTTTAAGAACACAATATTTGTTTAACAGATATTCGCCTACAGCATTGCTTCCCAAAGACAGGGTTGCGATCTTCAGGTGGGTCGCAAGAGATTTTTTTTTGGTCGCCTTGTTATGATCTGCATGTAGGTCTGCAATATTACAGTTCTGACACTGATATGCGTGAAATTGATATTGATATTGTGCTCTCCTCCTGCACCCCGGACTGGAACTCGCTACAAAAACGCAGACAAGCCCAATGATCTCATTAAAAATGTTGAAATGTTAAGACATGTTTTGAATCTTTTTGTAATTATTTTATTGACTATTTTGTTCCAATAATGCTGGTTCAATTGAATGTTGAAAACAAAAAGAAATGGGCTACATTTAATGGGTGAATTATGGATCCCTTTAATTCCTGGTTCAATTACTGTTTTCCATTTTTTAAAACTTGAGGAATATTAATTGTTCGGAGAGACACGATCACTCAGTCAACAATAAAATATCATAATATGTTCAATAATGGTCAAATCCACCTTTATTTTGTGATTTACGAATAATGCCTATTGAATTGGGTGGCAAAGATTTGTGACTTTTAAAATATGGGTCTCCAGAAAAAAAGTTTGGGAAACACTGGCCTACAGTATGCTAGATGCATACTGTAGGCTCTGTGCTTGCCTCAGTGTTGTCAGCTTATATCCTGGGTTCAACATTTTGCTTAAATGTTATATTATACAAACTTGACAGCTTTAACATGTTAGAATGTTGTTGCCTCCTCAAAAACATACCCGGAGTTGTGTTTTGCTTCATTCACACACTCTTTATTACTGGTCTCTCTGCATCTCCAAAGCTCATAATGCTCTGTTCTACCTTGTGACACCTTGTGAAGCGGTTTTACTTTTAGTTCAGTAGAAATTGGCATTTCAGGGCAGAAGTGATTCAAATGAAGGTATGGGGGGCACACCCTGTATTACCACATGACATCACATTGTGGAAAGTGTTTTCTGTTTGAGAGAAGAACACAATCCAGGTACAGTAGGCAGGGTTTGTGTGTTAAACATGTGTAAATGAAACAAACCACAACTCCAGGCATGTGCGTGATAAGCAAACAACATGATAGCAGATCAGAAAATAGCGTAATAGAGTCCATTTAACGTCTCTCCGCACTCGTCACCTCGCATTCATCCCACTCACTGTCCTGTTAAATAAAATCTACAAGCCAAACATAATGTATCATTCAAATAGAAGTTGACCTGCCCATGCAAAGCCGGATGTTTCGATTTAGTGCGCTGTCCAAAACTTGCTCTAGATTTAAACCCGGTGCCTATTGAGATGTTTTCACTCCACAATTACATTAATCTTAACATGTGCTCTTTATGACCTGTTCTGTCAGCTTGCACTCCCCCGCTGATGTGTTTAGCTAGAATTCTCTTTAGGGGGGAAGTTGTCAGGGCTACCGGGTAACAGGCAGAACGAAACAAATCCCAAAACATTAAGATGTGAAAAAAAAATATTTGGAGCAGGGAAAAATCTTGGCACAGATGCAAAAATATGGACTGGAAAACTGTATGTCATACCCTGAGCGCAGCAGTTCATTCAGAATATTTCAGCTATACGCAAACAAATGTCTCTGCACAGTTCTGGTTCGACCCACTTACACTTTATCATTACTAATGGGGCTTGCGGTGGCGGTAGTCGGATGGGAGTTTATTTAAAGCGATCTACATGATGACCGGTGGGATCGGGCTTCATTCACATGTGCAGTGACCACAAAGCCCCCTTGGGAGTTCCCCCTTCGGTCTGTGATAGCCAAATTACCCCAACCTCAAAATACCAGACAGCTGCCGCGGACATACATGCACACACATAGCGCCAACAGCTGCTATAAAAACAGCCATTTTTCCATGATAGGTCTGTAAGTGTAATTTAGTCAGGAGGAAACAATTTATTCTGAGCCGGATAGACAGGAAGAGCGTACAGTATCTTCTCCGTATGTTCATTAGACACATTTTTACCACACACTTTCTCTACAGCACTGACAGGATCTTATATCATGTGTGGAGCAGTTAGATAAACAGTGATGTGTCTGGTGGTTGACACTAACTCCAAAGAATGAGTTGCCACTAAAATATGTCTCAGTGACTCAATGAATACAACTTCAGTCTTTTATTATCTTCATCAGAATGAGTGTCCATGGGTTTATTCAGCTGCAGGTGTTATTATTTGCTCAAAAGAAAGACATTTTGCATTCTTAATATAAGCGGGGTCGCCTCTCCGCAGACCTAACCTGTAACTTGATGTGGGTTCACCGGATCCAAATAAGTTTAATGCCATACCATTCATGGAACATTCCCGATAAAGTCATTACATCTTCATAGAAATAAACAGGTGGGGGACATGAAAAGTTATGGTACACAAAAATCACGTTTCGGTACATACCTTGGTTTTGTAGTTATGGTTCGGATAATTTTTGGAAGTGGAGATTCTGTGCCTGCGAAAGGTGAACGTGAAGAATGAGGTGCGATTACCGTAGTTTTGCGAAGATGAGATCACGCAGTTCGGAGAGACGTAGTCATGGTTGGGGGTAATTGTTGTCAAGGTGGCTGCCCTAACTATAAAGTGCTGCAGGAAACACTGCCACCCCAGTCATGGACGAGTTTCCTCTTGAATATTAAAGAGCCGAGCCTTCAGTGTAGCTGCACATGTAGTGGTGGAATGTAAACACAAACAAACTGCATGAATTCACTCGTGCACAGCCACACACCAAACCAAACGTCCTGTACTGAAATGGTTAGGCATGAATACCAAATTTCTAGCCTTTAATTGTTGCCATTGATGTCAGTGTTTTTCCACTTTCAAGGCACTTAAAGCACTTTACATCATCTATGGGAGCTGGAATCTCACCCCTAACCTGTGGGTCATTGGATCTGCCCAACAATGATGTTTATGTCAAGAACTGGAGTTGAACCACTAACCTTTGGATTGGTGAATAAATGCTTTCAGATTTTGGGAAATTTGCGAAAGGTTCTGGAAGATTAGTCATATTTACTAAACAGATCCCCATTAAACACATTGAAAATTTGGAACGTGTTTTTGGGGTGATAAGATTTTAAGCAATGGAAACTCAGCTAATGACACTAATGCTGTCTTTATCTCTCTGTGCAGCTGTGCCTCAGATAAAGTTTGGATGCTATGTTGAAGTTCAAGGAGAGAGCTGCTATCTGAGTCAGGAGGCTATGTCTGGACACAGTCAGAGATTGATGAGACAGACTGATGGATTTCACACCAATAAAGACACAGACAGGTGACGGTGATGGTTATTTTTAGCCCAGTCCAAATTGTCACGAGTCTGGAAAAGTATGGTACAATTTTTGAGCTAGTGCACACTTTTGAGTGTCAAATTCAACACCTCGTATTAGAAAACCCATTGTCGTGGCTGTGATGTGGATAAGTACTATGACATCTGCTGTGGAAAAAGCAGATAACACTTGGAGGTTCCCCAGTCCTGCATCCCACCACAT